ATGTCTACATCCGTTAGAAATTTAGTTTTGGAAGATGAATATGATAAGGGGAAAGCACATGACCTACTGTCAAGTGAAAAATTCAGAACTGTATTTTTAATCCTAATTGGCATAGCTCTAATTTTTACTTTATGGCTCTAAGTTACCTAAATATTTGTATATCTGCATCTGCCTGGGTTTAGTTACTGAAAAAATAAGGAAACTTATTGCAATATTAACTTATCCTAGGATGAATTTATTCATCTTAATTTTAATTTGAAAAAATGTTATTTCAAAAGTAATTACTGATATACAGAATTGCAAGTTACCCTCATACTGTATACTGAAATGCTTAAGAATAAATTTCGACTTTTCAATAATCAAATCACATTTGAAAGTAGGCATCAGGGCTGGCGCTGAGGCATAGCGGGTAAAGCCGCAGCCTGCTGTGCCTGCATAACAAATGGGCGCCAGATCGAGTTTTGGCTGCTCCACTCCTGATCCAGCTCCCTGCTAATGCACCTGGGATAGCAATGGAAGATGGCCCAAGTGTTTGGGCACCTGCATCCATGTGGGAGACCAAGAAGACGCTCCTGGCTCCTGGCTTGGGAGTTGCACAGCTCCAGCTCTTGTGGCCATCTGGAGAATGAACCAGTGGATGGAAGATTCTCTCTCTCTCTCTCTCTCTCTCTCTCTCTGTAACTTTGCCTTTTGAATAAAATAAATAAATCTGAAAAAGAAAACAAAAAAGAAAATAAAAAGAAAGTAGGCATCTATGTTCTAAGGGCTCTCAGACTGAAGTCTGAGGAGCTGGCTACATGCCGCCTCTTCTGGTTGTGGTGATTACTCAACCTGTGCCACAGACCATGTATTCTGCATGACAGAGAGGGTCAGCTTGCCCAGAGTAAACTGGTGCTCTGTGATACTGGAGCATTGATTTTTCATATTATAATTAGATTTTTGGATAATACCACCACATTTTAGACTTGTTGCATATAGAGAATAAGGTGTCATTTTAATAATACTTTGTTTACTGTATGAGTAGACTATTATATTTTAAAATAGAATATTGCTGAATAAAATCTTTCTAGGAATGAAGAGTTTGGTGAAAAGGATACAATCTAAGAGTACTTAAGCTTCTTGCACAGAATAGGCCAATGATGAGCATATTTTCAAAACTTTGAGAATAATGGATGAATTTTTAACATTGTTCTCATAGATAGTCAAAAATCTGGTTTATAAAAGCAATATAAAACATGAGAACTATTGCAACTTATCTTAAGTATATCAATATGATCTAGAAATAAATCTCTCTCCTCATCATACATAGGCATAATTAGTATCTGCCATCTGTTTCAATGTCTTTTATGCATATAGTGATTGTTTATAGAATATCTAGTAGATGTGTAAAATGCCAACTCAGACCTGAAAAATCAGGGCTAATGCAGTACTTTGAATCAGAGTATTCTAGTTGATTAAGAAGTTAGTTCAGAGGTAATTCACTTAGCTTCAAAGGGTCCAAGAACAGGACAGACTTACTTGTTTGTTTCCTGGTTCAAGAAGCAATCAAGAATCACAGAACAAAGTTCAAAATCAAGTTTACTTAGTACAAAAAGAAAGAAGTCTCATTCATCCAATTGTAAGAAGTGTTGAACACACAAGAAAAAAATAAAATGGATTTTGAGTCTGTAGTTTAGCCATGGCTTAAAAAAAATAAGATCTCTCTGTCTCTCTCTCTCACTATCCACTCTGCCTGTCAAAAAAATAAAAATAAATAAATAAGAAGATGCAATGAAATATGAAAAATAGAAAAAGAAAAAAGATAAGATCTAAGGGGAAGGAAAGATAAAAAGAGCCAGCCAGTTTAACTCTGGAGAAGAAATGAGAAAGAAGAGGAGAAGGGAAAGTAGGAGAAGACCAAAGGTAAATAAAATGATGAAAAAGATAAATCTTTTTTTTTTTTTTTTGGCAGGCAGAGTGGACAGTGAGAGAGAGAGACAGAAAGAAAGGTCTTCCTTTTGCCACTGGTTCACCCTCCAATGGCCGCCGCGGCTGGCGCGCTGCAGCCGGCGCACCGCACTGATCCGAAGGCAGGAGCCAGGTACTTATCCTGGTCTCCCATGGGGTGCAGGGCCCAAGTACTTGGGCCATCCTCCACTGCACTAGGCTAATCCTCCGCCTTGTGGCTCCGGCACACAGGGTTCTAGTCCTGGTCGGGGCGCTGGATTCTGTCCCGGTTGCCCCTCTTCCAGGCCAGCTCTCTCCTGTGGCCTGGGAGTGCAGTGGAGGATGGCCCAAGTGCTTGGGCCCTGCACCCCATGGGAGACCAGGATAAGTACCTGGCTCCTGCCTTCAGATCAGCGCGGTGCACCGGCCACAGCGCACCAGCCGCAGCGCGTCAGCAGCGGTGGCCATTGGAGGGTGAACCAACGGCAAAAGGAAGACCTTTCTCTCTGTCTCTCTCTCACTGTCCACTCTGCCTGTCAAATAAATAAATAAATAAATAATAAAAAAAGAAGGAAATGAAGGGTGGAACTTGGTACAATGGTTACGTGATCCTTGTTACACACAGGGGAGACTTGTAATGAGTTCCTGGCGCCCCACTTCAGCTCCTGTTGCAGGCATTTGCGGAGTAAACCAGAAGATGGGATTTATCTCTCTCTCCCTCCCCTCCCCCATAAAATAAGCAAATATTTGTAAAAAGAAGTAAATGAAGTATAAATGTAGACTGTCTTTCATCTAATAACAACACATACACACATACACTGTTGACAAGTATTCTATCAATGCCTAGCTTTTATGGAGCTGTCAGAATAGGTTTACCAAAGACTCATGATATCTGTCATAATTTTCATAGCAATTCTGTGAGTTAGATCACTGCTTCACCTTACACCTGAGGAAGAAGTTTAGAGCATTAGAATTAATTGTCCTATATCATTTAAAATAAGAACACCATATTAGTAGTAGTAATAGTAGTCATGGCAATGGTAGAAGGGCAGCAGCTAATAATTATTGAGCATATTCTCTGTTTCAATCACTATATAGGATAGTTATGGCTTAACTTATCTCACTTAACAGTGCTTGAAGGTAGTTATTATAATTCCTACTTTGCAGATGATGAGGCTGAGACTTAGAAAGTTTAGTAACATGGCAAAACTGAACAAGTGCAGTTCCAGAATTCTTAGTTGAGAAGATCTGACTCCTAAGCCTCTCCTCAGAGCTGGACCTTAAATCCTGGCCTTCCAAGTCCCTGGCTGATGCTTCTTCCATGAGGGCAGAAAAAGTAAAAACAAAAACAAAATAATCACTCACACCTTGTACCTCTCCCATACCAGCATCCAGTGCATCACCTAGAAGTCCCATTCCTTGAGGACCTCATCGTCTCAGCTGGCCAAATTCTCCACCCTGTACCAACACTGCTTCCTCCTTGTGAAGATAGGACCTAACCTGTCCCCAGTGACATTGCCACCAGTTAATACTTTTACTCCTATAGTTAAATGTGGTTATCCACTCACAGGCCTGTGTTCCATTAAATACCATCAAGGTCCACAGATTCTGTGATTCAGTTATCCACATCACAGAGTTTGTTCCATGAAAACAAAATAGTGACAGAAAAAGAATTGGATACCTAAATTTCAGTTCTGTTCCTCTGTTTACACTCAGGGAGAATCACTTGAGTTTAGATAATGAACATAAGCATGAGTTGTCATTGAAGAAAAACCTCTGTATTTATTCCCCCAAGATATTGGGACCATGAACATGATTGGACAGGACTTCCACATACCAGTTCTACTAAGAAAGCAAGATTTAGTTCTGGGCCCAGTACTACTGAAAATGGATGTGGGACAGGAAAGGAGGATAGAATCTGACACAGTAGAATAAAAACGGCATTTAACTTGGCTCTAGATATTTAATGTAGGACTACAATTTTTACCATTTTTTTACCATTTTGATTTGTAAAAATGGGCAATTTCATTTTCCTCAGTTTCTTTACATGAGAACTAAGATCTTATACAAACTTGTGCTATTTTCTATCTAGTGGAGTTGGGCACTCAGCTGCTTTAGTGTCTGTGTGCACCTGTGTGTGTAAGACAAAGAAGGAATAAGAATTGCAATTTAGAGGTCAGCATTGTAGAGCAGTGGGTAAGGCCTCTACCTAAAATGCTGCTATCCCATATCAGAGTGCCAGTGTGAGTCCTGGCTTCCAATCCAGCTCCCTGCTAATGCACCTAGGAAGGTGGCAGAAGATGGCCCAAGTGCTTGGGTCCCAGCCACTCACTTGGGAGACACAGATGGAGTTCCTGGCTCCTGGCTTGCACCTGGCCCAGCCTCAGCTGTGTGGCTATTTGGAGAGAGAACCAATGGATGGTGGATGGAGGATATCTCCTCCCTCTCTCTATCTCAGTAACTCTGCCTCTCAAATAAATTTAAAAAAAAAATTTAAAAAAATAAGTATTTTGTTTGTGTGCCTGTTTTTTTAAAGGACAAATTAGAGATCTCCTTTATCAAGCCATCTGTGTTTGAGCAACAATCACAACCTTTTGGAAATCAAATTTAAGATTAAAAAGTTTTTACTTTGAAGACCAAAGATGTATCTGAGAAATAACAATCTATTTCTCTCAACATATGTTCTTATATGGCTTCACTTAAAATGAGTATATTTCTTTTGGCAATTGGTGATGTATGTCCCTAAGAGGTAAAAAAAGAGATATATTTTGTGGACCAGATTCTAGTTTCCATGATACACATAAATTAAACTTTACATTTAATTTCCTTTGCCAGATCACACTTTTTCTTGGTTTATTGCAAGCTAAAGGATAAATATATTTATGTGATACAGTTTTCAAAAGTTATCTCTGTATTTTTAAGCTGATAAAAAGATCTACTTTCCATCATGTAATTCTATATTACATGTATATTCTATATTCATGTATAAAAGGAGTGAATTTAGTCTCTGAATGCAAAAAGAAGATATCTTTCTAAAACTTCTCAATGTTTTTTTTTATTATTATTTATTCCAGGCACTGCTTGATACTCAGAATCTTTTGCGTGCACAAATCACAAATTTTACATTCAACCTGGGATTTTCGGGGAAATTTTACCATACAGGTAAGGAAAAGGATATAATTGTTTTCACAAGGCCTCTCTATTTAAAAGTGTACAGTACTCTTGCTCACACTATCCTACATCCCCTTGGTCCCCCCCCCCTTTTCATATTATTCAACTTCATTTAATACATTTTATATAACCTTTATAGAATGTTAATGGTTTGAAAGTTGATGATATTATCTAATGACTTTCTTTTTTATTGAACTATAATTTACATACATGAATATAAAAGTATACAAATAGTAAGTGTATTGTCAGGTGAATTTTCACAAAGTCGACACAGCTGGGTAATCAGAAGGCAGATTGAGAAAAAAAATGCAACCAGAATCTACCTGCCCTACCTCCAACCCCCTGGGTTCACTAGCTCCAAAGAAAACCCGTATCCTAAAAAAAATAATAATAATAATAATATCCTAAAGTCCTTGAGCCTGGCTTTGGCTTGTATATAAAAGACCCCATACAGTATGGGCTTATCTGTATCCACCTTGTTTTCTTCAATATTATTTGGATTTGATAGATTATTGTGTGTTGGTTATAGTTTTTTCATCATCATTGCTGTGTAGTATTTATTTTATTGATTGAACATACCAAAATGTCTTTATCCATTTCATTCAATTTCTTTATTCATTCCATCCCAATGTAGACAATTGGGTTGTCTTCAGTCTTTGGTTTTATTTGTAATATTCCTTTTATGAACTTTTTTATACCTGTCATTTAAAGGACTTAAATATTTTCTGTTGGTTACCTAGTAGCAGTTGAATTACTAGTTATGTGGCACATTTATGATCAGCTTTAGTAGAAAACACTTGTTTAGAGTAGCTGTAGCCAATTTAGAATCCAAACTGTATAACTGTTATGACTTTACATTCTTCTTGATATTTGAGGTTTTTCAACTTTTTAAAAAGATTTATTTATTTACTTGATAGGCATAATTACAGACAGAGGGAGAGACAGAGAGATCTTCCATCTGCTGGTTCACTCCTCAGATGGCCACAACGGAGCCACAGGCTGGGCCGATCCAAAGCCAGGAGACAAGAGTTTCTTCCGGGTCTCCCACATGGGTGCAGGGGCCCACGCACTTGGGCCATTCTGTACTGTGTTCCTAGGCCATCAGCATGGAGCTGGATCAGAAGTGGAGTAGCTGGGACCAGTGCCCATATGGGATGCCACTGCTGCAGGTGGATGCCTAACCTACTACACCACAGCACCAGCCCCAGATGTGGGTTAATTTTTAATGTTAGCCCACTGGGTGGGCTTGTAGAGAAATCCTATTACGATTTTCATGTACATTTTTCTGAAGAGTAGTAAATGAGCTTCTTTCATGTTTTTATTGGCTATTTGGATAGCATTTTTTTAGAAGTATTTGGATTTTTTTTTTATTTTAGGATTTCTGCTTTCACTTATTGATAGTACTGATACTTAGAAATTCTTTGTATGTTCTTAATGAGTCTTTTGTCAATTTTATGTATTACAAACTTTCTTCCTCTGTGTGGGTTGTCTTCTCACTTTCTTAATGGTTTTTTTGATGATAAAAAAATGGTAAGGTACTTCAAAAAGTTAGTAGAAACTGAAATTAAAAGATGCAGAAGTGTTTGAAATCTATGTGTACAAGATGTCAAGTTCGTCGAAATATGTATTATGAAAAAAACTGCATGGATTTCCAAAAGTTTTGCACCAATATGAACTTATATTTTCCACCAACTTTCTGAATACCTTCCTAGAGCCTTTAAGAGGTCACAGAAAATTTTAAATGTAACTGATAAAGAAAGAGCAATTGAGAAATGTTTTGAAAAATCAAGATGCAATAAAATTATTAGAACACACTACCGTTTACATGAAAATAACAGAGAAGGATCAAGCATTGTGGCACAGTCAATTAAGCCACCACTTTGGATGTCTACATTTCTTATTTGGATGCCAGTTCAACTCGTGTCTCCTCGGCTTCCCATCCAGCTCCCTTCAAATGCTTTTGGGAAGGCAGCTGATGATGGCCCAATTGCTTAGTCCTTGCTACTCAGATAGGGGACCCAAATGGAGTTCTAAGCTCCTGATTTTAGCCTAGGCTAGCCCTTGCTACTGCGGGCATTTCAGAAGTGAACCAGCGAATGAAAGATCTCTCTTTCTCTCTCTCTATGACTCGTTAAAATAATTAAATAAAATAAAAAAAATAGAATGAAATCTACACATCTCTAGATATATTACCATTAACTTATTTTATATCTTAGGAAACTTAAAGAGTAGTTCAGTAACTTGCTTACAGTCATGCAGCTATTAATATAGATAGAGAATATTTATGAAAGGATTTATGATAAATGGTATGAGTGGGCAACTGTTTGAAGAGAATTTGGGAATTGCATAAAAGGAATGAAAGGAGCATTTCCTTTTTCCTGAGCATTTCCTTTTTCCTTTTGCATTTTATATCATTGTTTGTGATCTGTTGAAGTAAGTAAACATGTAACAAATCTTTTAAATTGAAATATTTAAACAAGTTTATCAAATAGTGCTCTACAATGGAAATGTTTCTATTTAATCTTTAATTTGATGAGGTGGCTATGAATTATCTTGTATGTACTTAATAAATTCCTTCAAGGCTTTAATAAGCTTATCATGATGAGAATCTACCTGTATACCACTAACATCAATGTAATTTCTACATGCACAAAAATAACATTAATAGAAATTCTATTTTTAGACAAAATTAATATTGCATTCAGGAATTAATTAATTTTTGTTTTCATGGAAACTATAGAATTAATTAATGTCTGTTTTCATGGAAATTATGGAATCATAACACTTAACTAGTGCATTCATATCAATCATTGTGTAATACACTCAATATGTGGAAATATACATCTTCATGTAACTCTGGGTCTCAAATTAAATTTTGTAATTTTAAGAATACCCTTGACATAAAAAGCTCTGAAATCCTCATTCCCCTGAATTACTTAGACCAATATATAAATAAACTTTTTCTGTGGTTATTTTAAGATTTAACAAATGGAAACTTCATAATTATAACTTTGTTTTATGATTGAATACTTACTGTCCTTACTGTAACCTCAAAAATGAAAATAGAATTAGATATATATTCTAAATCCCTTGTTTGTAAGAAAGATCTACTACCTTGGCAGAGACATATTATGTGCTTCTTTTTATCTGCAGAAGTTAAACTTACAACGTCATTAAATCTCACAATGGGAAACTCCAAGAACTTATGGAAGTTGAAGAGTGCCCATAACCTCTTCTTAAATATATCCTAATTTGGGGCTAATTATTGTGGAATATTTGACATCATTTGAAGAAAAGAAAATTACCATACAAAGGAATCTCCCATGCCAGATCAGGAAATATAGAAAATGTAGTATGTTTGGAGGAAAGAGAGATTTTTCAGAAGAGCCACAGTAGCAAAACCAAGACAACTCAGATTCAGAAAAGAAAACACTGTTGGCAACTAAATTTTGGAGATTTTTTTGTTTGTTTGTTTTGGTATATTATTGAATGCTAGAGAATGACTCCAGCCAGCCCCACCCTTCCTTCCTATGTCTGAAAGATCTCATCAGGTTTTTGTTTGATTGTTTGTTTAACTTGGGCAACTCCCAGAACTCAGAATAATACAGTACCCTCTCTCTAAACCAGGGAAAGTAGAGCAGAGGAAGAAGTGAAGGCTAACATTTGAAGTCTTCTTATCTGTGTATAATAAAAATGTTTCCACAAAATTATAGCCAGTATTGTCCAAGACCAGTAAAACCACTTTTCAGTGAGAACACATATAGAATTTATTACTGAATCTTTCAAGATTTAGATACTATAAAATTCTTCTCCTTTCTGAGTAAGAGTAATTTCTTTTTACTACTAAAAATTCTATCTTCTTCACCCTGTCTTGAAGGGAAGGAGAAAGGTATCACTGTCATGGCTCTTCAGGAGAGAACTTCATTTTGATTTGTTGTAATTTATTAAGGGTTTATGCATTTATGTGAGAAATGAATAAAATAAAAATCATCACTCTCTTTTAGTTGGTAGTCACCATATTCAAGGTATGCACTTTTCATGTACCATTTTTTTGAGTCTTAGGAGTTTTCTAAATAAGAGCATAGAAACTGAGAGAAGCTCAAGGTGAAATACCTAGTTAATTGTTAAAAAAAAAAAAAAAGTCAGATCCCAGTTCTTTGCATTTAAAATATTGGATTTTTATTTTTAATTGGAAATTTTTTGTTAGGGAAGTTTAATGACAGTATTTCCCTTATCTTTCTTTGGGCTTTTTGGATTCTCATATTACCCCAAATCACTGAAAACCAATAGTATCAGTAAATTTTATCACTGAATTAATTAACAATGTAAAGATCAATTTTATATTGAATTAGTAAATGTTTATCTCATTTCTAGACTCAACATTTGGTTAGTGAATGATAATTAAAGGCCTTAAATTTTGAGTTGCTAAATCTGAGTCAGATTCAGTTTCTGCATTCAGGTTCTATTCCAAGCTTGTCAATGATTTGGGACCAGATACTTCTCTCCAAAATATCAACTTCTTTATCTGTAAAAGGAGGTTAGTGGTGGCCCTCACCTCATGGATTGTGAGGTTTAATTGAGATGATTCTTGTAAAACACTTAACACAAAGTCTGACACAACGTAAACTCACAATCAGTGATGGTTTGTAATATTAGAATAGGAAAATCACAGAGGCAAGTTATTTTAATAGGTACATAGAAGTAAATTTTAAGTTGTAATAACTGTATAAATGAGTGTAGCATAGTTTTGTAATAACTTAAGAAAGGACACTCCAAACAAAAAATTTGACTTCTCTTTCCCCTCTCTTTGTCTGATTTCAACAAGGGTGGGCAAAGGAGGGGAATGTAGGAGGCCAGGATAATCCATTCATGAAAGCAACAGATCTCTTAGTATAATTACTTCTGATGTAAAGCATCCCCAAAGTAAGATTAAGGAAATCAGATGAGACAGAGCTATAAAGAAAAAAAAAAAGAAAGAAAGACATACAGTTATGCCTACCATGAATTGAGATAAATCTGTCAGATGGGAAAATGTTACAGTTCCAATCTTGCATGATTCAAATGTTTGAATATTTGAATCACAGATTTTTGTCATGATATTCAGAAGAGAACAACAAATGTCTGAACTATCTTTCTAAAGAACCCAACATTTGTTATTCTGTCCTGATAAATAAACTTTGAGCAAAGGACAACTAGGACAATCAAGGAGAGATGATGGGAAAGATGCAAGAGAACAAAGGAGTTATAAGTGACAGGGAATAGAGATTAAAAACATTAAGAAATTTTCGTAGGAAATCTTAGCTCACCTTACCCACTCTCACATTTCAAAGGAAGTAGAAATCAGTAATGAACTGACTACTGGAAAACCCCAAGAGACTTCTGCCTGTTTTTAATTTGAGAAAATAAAACTTCAACAAGTAACTCACTTAATTAATATGGAGTCCTGAATTCATACAAAATGTAAAGTGGCATCTTCTAAATTAATATATAGAGGTAGGTGTAGATAGATGATAGATAGATATAGATAGACAAACAGGTAGACAGAGAGATCAATACAATTGGAATTAATTGAATAATCTTTTTCCTCCCTAAAGGAACTGAAGAGGAAGATGAAGGAGATGACTGTCTGTTGGGGTCTGTTGATGAATTCTGGTGGTTTCCTCATATGTGGAGCCATATGCAGCCCCATCTCTTCCATAATGAGTCATCTTTGGTGGAACAGATGATTCTCAACAAAAAATTTGCCTTAGTAAGTAATTCACTTAGACTATTGCATTGAACTCATGTCTGCTAATCAGAGAAAGGACAAGACATTTATGCTGGAACCTTTCTGAGGCTTTTGGCATCTTGGCCCTTATAAAGGAGCATTTCTATGTGATCATTAATATCTTGATATCTTGTCAATATATGTCTCCTGAGTTGGTGTTAGATGTTCAGCACTGTACTTAATGCTTTGAGGAATCCAATTTAAAAGAGACTTCGCAAGTCATTAACAAGAATAAGTTACATGACATTATGACCAGAGTTCCTAAAACATGGCTCCCACCCAGAGGCATTTTCTGCTACAGAATGGAGGCCAAAATTTTTAACATTTATCCAATCAATCCCTATGGTCAAAAGCCCACAGTTCAAAGAAATGTGTCATTAGAAATGGCCAGAGACATATTCTTATGGAAATTGGATTTCAGATATACCCTGAATAAGAATAAAATTTAGGTATCAAGATGATTTGGAGTAAAAGGAGCCTGAGGGAAAAGACCAGGTAAGAGCCCATAATGTGGGTACAGTGTAATAATGATTCAATCTAAGAAAGTGATGGGAATGGAAAGAAAAACATTTAAAAGATGCTTCAAATGTACATATTATATGGATTGAACATTTGCTTGGCTGAAACAAGGTACACTGCTTCATAGTGAAGGGTTTATTACTTGGATCAGGGAAATTTACAATAAAAAATAAGTATGTTGTAAGAGGAAATTTTGTTATCAAAGAACGTAGTGACAACCACTTCTGTGGTATTCTCCATCAACTGCTAGAGCCGAGGAGGTTAAACAGTTAATCCTCATGATACCTAACTCAAACTTAGACAATAAAGGGTTATGATTTATAAACTGGTATTTTGTAGTGGGGATATAATAGATGGCAACCATAGTTGTTATGCTCATTGTATTTAGTACATAAAACTGCCATTTTCAATTTTTTCCTAGTCTTCCCAGATATTGGAGTAACTGATAAATAACCATAATTTTTAATTATAAAAGCTTATTTTTCACTACAATGACATTTGGCTAAAGTGTATTTTATAGAGTTTCTGAATATATGTTAATTTCATACTTATCATTAAGGCATTTGGGTTCCAAAACTTTACTGTTGCTAAATTTAAAAATGCAGTGAGAGAAGATCAAGGCTTTCAGTTTTTATTCTATATTTATTTTATATATGATTTATCATAATATCCACAACAATATGAATTATAGATATATTTATTCTCCATTTATAAGTGAGGAAACTGAGATTCGGATAAATATAGGGCTCATTCATGATTATAAAGCTTAGTAGTGGAAATATTACGATCAGAAACCTAGGTCTTTTAATACTGCATAAATTATGTCAGCCAGGTTTCCTCACTAGCCCACAAACTTGATCAAAAGGTATAAGTCTACATTTCTTTTCTGCCTGCTACCCCAAGGGAGGATTTAGCCATCCTGGTAATATAAGGAAAAAAATTGGAGAATTTGAAGTAGAACTCACAGGGCAACCTTTCCCTTGTGTCCCTTAAAATTCACTCTTACAGATAGTCTCAAAGATGTTGGAAAGGAAGACAACAACTGAATCTGAGAAGCTTCATGACCAAATAGCATTTATCAGGTATAGACAGATGAGCACAAGTCACTTTATTTTAATGGAAACTATTCTGGAGGAAATCCTGCCTCAGCTATCTACTTTGGAATAAGCAAATAATTAACATATGTAATATTGTGTTTTTAAATTGGGCTACATTCTACTTATATCCTACAGAGCTGAGAGGGTTTTTTTTTTTTTTAAGATTAATTTTATTTATTTGAAAGACAGAGTTACAGAGAGAGGCAGAGACAGAGAGAGAGGTCTTCCATCCACTGGTTTATTCTCCAGATGGCCGCAATGGCCAGAGCAGCGCCCATTCAAAAGCAGGAGCCAGGAGCTTCTGCTGGGTCTCCCACGTGCTGCAGGGGTCCAAGGACTCGGGCCATGATCTACTGCTTTCCTAGGCCATAGCAGAGAGCTGGTTTGGAAGAGGAGCAACCAGGACTAGAACCGGCGCCTATATGGGATGCCGGCGCTTCAGACCAGGGCTTTAACCCACTGCGCCACAGTGCCGGCCCCCAGTGCTGAGATTTTAAAGTGGACATGGGTGCTTCCCAAAGAAGGAAATGAGTCTTTAGCCAAGAATAGAGGAAATGGATAGAAGCACTTAAAATAGCCTTCCAACTTAGAGAATCTGAGACTGTGATCCACAATTCTTTGTTGGGCCTTGTCTGTCACCATTTAAGCCAAACACCTGTGATTTTCATTGAGTTTTAGCAAATACATCCTATCTATTTTTCTTTTGCATAATTGGACAGTTCTGACCCACAATGGAATTAGATGTTCATTTTAATTTAGTTTTGAAAGCTCTAATAGTTTATTATGGAAGCAAATCCTTTAAGCAAACTTTCATTTCATGATTACAGCTATCAGGCAATGCAGCTTTAGAGGGAGATTAGAAAAAAAATTGGGTTTCAAAACATTGTCTAATTCAGGTATTAAACTAAATCTCAACAGGGAATTTTTTTAAGGTACCAATTCTGAAGCAGATTAACTAAAAACATAAATCACTGGCCTATAACACAGCTTCAAATACCCATTTTACAGATATAAAACTATGATAAAATATTTAAAGACCAAAATAACATAGTACTTAAATCTCAAAAAAATTATGAGTAGTATATATGCTCAATTGAAAAATAGACCTAAATTTTAGCAAATGGTAGTACTGTGATTTTTAATAATGAAATAATTAGTAGTAGATATGTTTATCATAGAATTGTTTGCCAATATCAGGTGATACTTAACATCATTATAGACAATACTATTAAAGTTAATAATACTAGAATAGACCTCCTAAACACATAAAATCTTACTGTGTATTGCGCTTTTGAATACATTACCGTAAGTCTTTCAAATAGTACCTATTTTCCGTCTCTTTTTCAAATTCAGCAAAACCTGTTAATTTACATTATTGGAATGTCTGTTGTCAGTTACTCAACTTTTCTGATTAGTGAGCATGTTAAGCTTTCCAATACAAAAATAAAGATTATAGCATCAAAATATAATTTAAAATACATTGAAAGACTTGCTGCCTCTTATAATTTTTTAATTAGTTTGCTTGCCAACTAGAGAATTAATAAATTGTATTATTTTTAGTGAAGCACTTTATGGAGAGGCACACCAGGTTTTCATTTGATTGATATTGAACTCAAAGTATAACTGTAGTAGCCATAATAAAAACCTGGAGTTCCATTCAGGATGCAGAGTTCCCTGAGCTGGTAGACTGCTTCTAGAGCTGCACAGTTTAAGAAAAATACTCACCATTATTCAGAGCAGGGTGACCAATATGGTGAAATGTATAATTTACTTCATAAAATGAATGGTTGAAGAACTTGAAAAGGACAGAAGACAGAATGGAAGGCTAAGAGGTGTGTGAGTACTATCATGGATAATATTAAATCTAAGCATACCCACACAGCCATATCATTTATTACAATGTTGAAATCTGACATAACTATACTCCTATCTCCACTATTACCTTAGACCCTCTCTCAGATGGTCTCAAACTTCCCAACTATCAGGTAAATAAGCCTGGCCTAGAAAGAATCCCATCTGGTAGAAGTTCTGGTTGGTCATTGGCATGGCATGCTGATTGTTAAATATATGGAAATTCATTCCTGAATATGAGAAATAAATTTATAATTTAGAAAGGACTGGAATCTGTGTACTCATAAAGGAACTCATGAAAAGATGCATTCCAAACATTTAAGAAGGAGAATTCTACTCTAGGTAAGTATGTGTACAGAATGGTGCTACATCTACTAGGTCCTCAATAAATATTTGTTAGATGAAAATGTAAATAAGTATGTCTATAGCCTTAAGATTCTATCTTTACTATCATAAAATGTAGCTCTGATTATTAGTTCAGTATGGTTAAGTCTAACACATAAGCAGAAGCCTTGAAAAGATAGTGCTGGTGCTATGGTATAGAAGGTTAAGCCTCCACCTGTGGCACTAGAATCCCATATGGGTGCTGATTTGAGTCCCAGCTGATCCACTTCTGATCCAGCTCCCTACTAATGCTCCTGGGAAAGCTGTAGAAGATGGCACAAGTCCTTGGGCCCTTGTACCCACATGGGAGACCTGGAAGAAGCTCCTGGCCCTGGTTTTAGCCTAGCCCAGCCACAGCCATTGTAGCCATTTGGGGAGTGAACCAGTGGATGGAAGATCTCTTTCTCCAACTCCTTCTCTCTCTGTATCTCTGTATTTCAAATAAATGAGTAAATCTTGGGGAAAAAAAAGAGATAAAAATACTGTGTTACTCACTGTTTCAAAGAAAAGGATTCATGTCACACCATGAAGTTACATGGGGACTTACCAAGGTTGGACAGAAGGCAGAGGGAGCAAGGACAAAATTAATGGCAGTAGTGTTGCATTAGTCAGCTTTTTGTCTCTACAATGAAATACATGGGAAAACTAACTTTATAAAGAGAAAAGTTTATGTAGCTCCCAGGTTGAGAAGTTCAGATCCAAAATCAGATGGCTCTACTAGCTTGGTCTCTGATGAAGGCAGCAATGGTGGAATGTGGAGCTCAAGCAGAGAAAGGATCCCATGGCAGGCCAAGAAAGAGTGTGTGTATGTGTTTGGACCCCACTCAAGTTTCATAACCAACTCTCTCAGAATTATCTTCTGGGGGCACACCTCCAGTGACCTTAAGACTTACCACTCAGCTCCACATGGAATAACCATAATTGGATGAACTTTTCTTCCTCTTTATACTTTAATGTATGATTTGGGGGTTAAACATCAGCATTGTATTTGAGAGCCAAATCCTGTTCAAACCTCAGCAAGCTTATTTATCATGTTGTATGTAGTAAAGGTGATACAAGACAAAGTAAGAAAGCTTAGGAGTGAGTACTTTGAATAATTTCAGATATAGGGGCTGGCTCTGGCCTACTGAC